CCATCATATACGCGAGTGGGGCACGCACAACAGAGCATGCTTCAGGGAGAGCGGGGAAGCGGCAAGAGGTGGATACGAATGAGACACGCACGAATGTCAAACCGGTACAGCATTCGTGCGTCAACACCCTAACTTATACCAGCGAAACCGGTCATACCGTTCATACACTCACCAGTGTAGATGCGAGGGACGCCGCCAACTTGTGTGGGAGTCGAACCCACAAGTGCACGGAATGCACCCAGCCCTGCAAGCGTGTCGTTGCGCGGCTAGACAGCCGCTCAACGCTGGCATTTAACGCCATCCAGGGGCGGCTAGATGGAAGTGAAGGGAGGGGACAGGTGCAAGCCATAGCGAAGTTGGACGACGTGCAGCGGACGGCAGCGCAAGTGGATGAACACGCAAGAACGAGTCATTCCTGCAGAGCCGTGATGAACGTTGTTCGACCTTCTGTCTTGGTGGTGATGGTACCGGTGACGGTGAACGAGTCGTAAGCAGCGTACGCCATACGATCATTATCGTCTGCGAAGCTGGTGCTGCCGAAGAACTCGTCGTAGTTCGGCAACTGTTGCATGACGGCAATGCTGTCGGTGCACACCGGATAACTGCGGCTGCCGATTGTGAGGACGAGCGGGAGGACCGGTAGTGAGCCGACTACAGTGACAGAAGTGGGGTTGGGTGACAGGGTGGCCGAGGCGTGTGGACCATCCGACGGTAAAACAAGGGCACTGCGGCTACGCTGCTCCCAAGCCAATACCATATCAGTCGTGTCGGCGGGCACGGTGGCCGCGGTAGTCCGCTGAACAGCCGCCTGGAAGGTGTGCACTCGTTTGGGAGGGCGCTTGCCGGGGGCACTCGCTGCTGCTACAAGCGAGCCGCTGAGGAAGACGCTATTCATATAAGCTTTGCTATTGGAGGGGCTGATCTTGGCACCATACACGTAAAGGGGCGTGCTGCTATCGGCCGCTGCTTGTAGCTGAGCGACGAAGTCGTCGGGAGCGGATTCCCTGATGGCGAGCTCCACGCGTCCGGCGTCGGGACTGTCACCGTTGCCGCACGCGACCCACGCCTTANA